TGCTGGCTTCCCGACCTATAAGGTGTAACGTGGCTTAGTTTGGAGAGCCGAGCCACAGGCCGCCACACGAAGGCTCCCAGAGGCTGCACTGCAAACTACCTACTGGCACTGCCACCATGGTTCCCTCACGCTGCCCCTGATCAGGAAGGAGTGCCAGGGCGGATCCTCCGTTCCAGCCAGCAGAGCAAGACGCAGCAGAGGCGGCCTTGGCCTCTGGTCCCCGCACACTTCAGAAGCGCACTGACCCATGGCCGAGGGGCCCCCTTGGAGGAAGCCGATGGGCCATCCCTCAAGGACCATCTCCCCATCACCTGCCCCATCTATGCCAACTGGAACCGGACCGTTATGTCAGCGCGCAGCTGCCCTCTTGAACCAACAAGGCCTTGGCACCCGTTCTCCACCCAACTTCACCCCACACAAGAGAGAAGGAATAGCCACCACCCCAAAACCTAGTCTGGCCCCTCCCTGGGCAGCGCCACCAGCCAGGGGCCTTGGCTCTGAGCCGTAACAGGAGCTGCCTTGTCACCTCTGCTCCATCACTGTGAGGAGGTGGAAGAGAGAGCCGGGAGGGTAACTCAGTGAATATCCCCAGATAGGTCCAAGTGGGCGTTAAGTGGGCATGACGTATCAGCAACTATCACGTCACGGGAAGCTGCTTTTAGTGAACGGAGGGGGAGCACAGACTCCAACAGCTGGAAAGACCCTGGAGGCCTTCTAGTCCAACCCCCCCATCCAAGGCAGGATTGTCCCAATTCAACCTCCAGTGACGGAGCAGTCCCAACCTCTGGGGGCAAGTCCTTCTAGCGACGGTTCTCCCTGACAGGAATGCCAGAAGAAGAGAGTTGGAAGGGGCCTTGGAGGTCTTCTGGTCCAATCCCCTGCTCAACCAGGAGATCCTACACCATTCCAGACAAATGGCTGTCCCATCTCTTCTTCAAAGCCTCCTATGGTGGAGCCCCCACAACTTCTGGAGGCAGGTTGTTCCACTGACTAATTATTCTTAGTTCCATGTTGCTTCTCTCCTTGATTAGTTTCCCCCTGTTGCTCCTGTCCTGCCTTCTGGTGCTTTGGGCCCCCACTTCTCTCTGAAAGCCCCCCCAGAGCTGCTATCATGCGCGCCCCCTGGTCCTTCTCTCTGTTAATCTACCCAACTCCTGCCACCGTCCTTCCTACCTTCTGGACAGACATTTATCCAAGAGGGCATAAAGGAAGAAGGACTCCCTTAGCCACTCATCAGGCCACTTGGTCTCCGGGAAGGAACCTCCAGACGGCCCCCACAAAATAGTGGGACATAACCAAGTGGTCCCTCTTGGTCGGGAGGAGGTAAAAGGCCGGGAGAGAGTGGGAGCCTCTTGATGTCCCCCTCCAAAGACCCAGGTCAGCTGCGAGAAGGTCCCTTGGGGCTTTCTTTGTCAATGGAGCCGGAGCCCCTGGGCTTCCAGACCCTTCCCCAGGGGCCTTCCCTGTCCGTTTGTGAGACACGTGCGTGGCGATCGGAAATCCCTTCCCTCTTTTAAGAACCTCTAGAGAAACTCAACACACAACCAAAACACACTTCATCGCAGGTGCTTTTCTCAAGCTTGGCAACTTTAAACTGGGTGGACTTCGACTCCCAGAATTCTGGGAATTGAAGTCCACCCAGCCTTAAGGGCACCATGTTTGAGAACTCCACCCCATAATACCCAGCCTTTAAGTGCCGCAAGCCACTGCATCCATGTGGAAGGAGAGAGAGGGGAAGGGGCTCCTGGTGTCCTCGCATGGCACCATCAGGGCTTGGAACATGTGGGGAGCATCTGGAAGTGTGCCAAAGTCACCATTCCAGCAGGGGCCCCTGGGGACAGAGCGGCCAAGGGCCCCCTCCTTGCACAGGTTGTAGAAGCACCTTCTTCCCCACTGGAGATGGAGGGAGGGGAGAGGGCGGGTGGGTGGGAGGGAGGGAGGGGCTGCCTGAACCCAGGGGACCCCCAGGATGGGGAGTTGCACTCACCCCCTTTCCTCCTCCGCATCGAGGCTTGGAATCAAGAAACAAAGTACAAGACGTCAGTGGGCGGATGGCGCGTTTTCCTCCCCTGGGCTGCACCCCCTGCCTCTGCCAAGGGGAGACAGGGCCTGGGGTGAGGGTCTCCTCACAGGCAGGGAGGCTGGGGGAGCGGCATTCTGGGATGCAGCCCTGGCACGTTCCCCACAAGGCAGCCCTCGTGCCCCTCCCAGCCCCTCGCCCGGCATGCGTGCGCCCCCACAGCAGCGAGGCATCGGAGTTTCCCTTGGCCCTCCCCAGCCTATTTCCCTCCTTCTCCCCCTCTGTGGCCCCCAAGGGCTTCATCCCTGCTTCCTCCACTGCACCACAACTCTGGGGAGGGGGCAGTCAAGCCATTGGGAGTCTGGGACCACCTAGGAACCTCAGTAAAGACACTGGGAGGGTCTCAGGGGATGCCTTGGAGAATGGCGCATCAGGACGCCTCCCTGGAGAATGTTTAGGGGTGGCTCCCCCCCCCATTGCCTGTCAGGGGTCCAACCTAACCACTTGCACAATGCGCTTGGCTATCCGTGGAAACGGCAGGAAATGAAGAAGATGCCAGCTGGACCAAGAGGGGGGGGGGCTGCTGTGGTGCCTAGGATCAATCCAGGGGTCTTAGTGGCCAGTGATCCTCAGCCCTGTTGGAGAAACCCACCTGCTTTCCAGAGGACAGCCTGTCCCCAACTGGGCTAATATTCTGGGAAGGAAGGAGGCAGGGGACCTTTTAGGGAGAAAAGGACTTTCAAGGCCCAAGTGGCTCTTCCAGGATCTGGGCCGGCCAACGAAAGGACCACGGGGGGAATGGAGCAACCGGAGGTTTTCCCAAACACGGATGGTGGTGATGATGACTGCGAGGAGATGGCCCAACTGGGCAGAGCTGAAGGAGAGCCAGGACTCCTCAACGGGGCTCTCTAGGAGAAGACCTCTCTAGGGGCAGGAGGTCCAGGCAACCAAAGCCTCCTTTGCTGCCCAACCAACGAAGACCCCTGTCAACCTTTGCAGGAACCTTCCCTCGCCTGAGGCCCATCCAAGAATGCAAGACTTTTGGGGGGGGGCGAGATCAGAGTAACCCCCCCACCCTCTGGGGAAAAGTCGGAGGTGGATGGTTGTCCCTTCCCGGAAGCATAAAGGGGGGTGACTCCGGCACGAGTGGCAGGATCCAAGTGGAGTCGGTCCCTGGATCAGAGAGATGATCTCCCAAGCTTTCAAATTGGAAGAGCAAATCTCTGGTCCGGGTGACTGATTGGATCCTGCAACCCCCTTATCCTGGGACACATAGATTTCGCTCAGGAAGGGGCCTTCTTTGGGGTGCCCTTTTCACCAGCGGCCTGGCCCTTCTCTGGGGAACATCCCTCAAGAACGGGGGGGACGGGGGACGGAGGGGATCCACAGGGACGTTGTGCAGACCAAGAAGGACCCCTGATCCTGCTGGGAAACCTGGGCAGGGTCTGGAAAGGGGACCCTCAAGGATGCCTGGACTCCGACTCCCAGAATTCCCCAGCCAGGAACACCTGACGGAGGAATTCTGGGAGTGGGCCCAGGCAGCTCCCGAGGCCAAGGGATTGCCAAGGACAGCTGGCCCCCAGGTGACCCGAAGGCAGAGGCTGCATGCAAGCCCAGCGCGGGTGGGGGTGGCCCGCTGGGCGACAACCGGGTGGCCAAGCCTTTGCCAGGCAGGAGCGGCAGCTGTGCAGGGAGAGAAGCCCCCCGGAGGGGGGGATGCAGGCGCTGAGTGAGGGGCCGTGACGGCGCAGGCGGGGAAGGAAGGAAGGCGGGGGGGGGGGCTCCTTGCAGAAGCAGGGGAGGGCGGTG